CTCCTCCTCCTCCTCTTTGTCATCATCATCATGATTGATACAGAAGCCAAAATACCCCGCCCCCTCCCCATCGATCTTTTCCTATTTTCCCATTAGAAATACATTGTATATTTTTGTCTTGAAAATTGTTTACCTCGGGTCATATCGACTGACGCAGGAAAACAAACAAACAAACAAACAAACAAACAAACAAACAAACAAACAAACAAACGAACGAACGAAAAAACCCCAACCCAACCTAAACGCCTTCAACCGTAGAAAATTATAGTGCCAAATTGGCATTAATATAAAAAAAATCTGAGCATTACCACCTTTTCTATGCGTAAAATTGAATAAACAAGATAAAAGGATTTTTAAACTGTTGGGTTGTAGGGTCGATAAAAGGTGGATGGGATCAATATATGACAACTGTACACTTCCCAGTGTTATGCTGACCTTTGACATTCCTTTTTGGCCCTATTGTTAAATTAATTTCCCTTGCTTATAGAATACCTGAGTATTATGTCGCATCCCCTTGCAATTTACCAGCTGCATCTGTTAAGCTTTGACTCCAAACGTTTTGTTATAGAGCCTGGAAAAAATTCCAGAATTAGTCCAAGAATAATGAACTCTATCTTTTGCATTGACCAGTCTTTGGCAATCTCTTTAAGTGAAAGTCTTAAGAAATAGGTACTGACCCATCTGGTATGAAAGTAGGCATTGAACCCTCATCGTTGCTTGTGAACTGATGAGACTTTTTTCAATGCATTTTGTACCAACATTAAAAACCGATCACATAAACTATTTTCAATTCTCTTTAGGTAATGGAATACAAGGAAACAGTTGCATACAGTGAATGAGTATTCTGTGTGGAAAAATCAACCGGCGAACTCAGATTTTAAATAAGCGTAATACTTTCTATCAGCTTCGTTCACAGAGTCGAATGGATTGGAAGTGTGAAATTCGAAGCACTTTAACAATCAATATCTGAAAACAAATGTTTATGTTACAATCTAAATCGAAAGCCACCCTCCTAGTCAGAGCGCTTCTCTCATTATTTTTATGTTCACATGGGCGTTCCATTATTTTATAATTCTATAAATGTTGCTGAATTATTTAAAAATAGTAGAGGTAAGCAACATGCTGTTTGAGCATAAAATCCACATTACTGAAGACGAGCCAGACTTCAAGAGGATAGACTGCATCCCATGGGGAAGGTTAAGATGATCTGAAAGATTTCAGACTCAAGCTCGAGCTGAGTAGGTAGATGTTTTCACCGCTGTAAACACTGAGCTTTTCAACATCTCACGTAAAAATAAAACACATGGCTCATCGGTCTCGATTTAGGGGTAAGCATTGCTTCGTTTTCTCCTAAAAACGAAACAGGCAAATGGATCTTGGCTGCTTGAAAATAGCTTTAGTGTAAAGAAACAGAAGGGGAAGTAATCCCAGTACACTGAGCTCTTCCCTGGCATTCCAGGATATTCCCGCGCAGTGTGACGCGCGACGGGTAAAAAGTCGGGTATTTAGCCTTAGACCGCGTGTGTGGAAGCGTAAAGTTTAGAGGGCTGAGGACTCCTCATGCTTTCTTTTCCTGCAGATACGAACCGTGAGAGTCTCCAGTGTGGCTTGGCAGTCTACCTGATCAGAGCGTAGCACCGAGCTGATAGGGAGAAGGCAATATTGTGTTCTGTGACTGCACTCGTAACGAGCAGTTAGGAGAGTGCATTCGTTTTAGAGATTCGACACGATTTAATATTCTTAGATGTTTCCTTAAATATTTTGGGCGGAATTTTCCAGTGTTTGTTTGAAGTATTGCTCAGGTGTGACCTCAGGGTGTGTCATACGCTTTTCCTAAGATATTGTGTGAAGAGGTTTGCTTGTTAGATCTTCTTGCTGTGGTATATTTAACGTATACCTGTATACTGTTTCTGTGTATTTTATGTGTTTCTGAGACGGATTACACATCGCGTGTGTTGCTTCTGCTGCTTCAGTGAACTGTGTCAATGACGAAGTGAGGACACTCTGTGATCATGTCAGAACGTCCCACTCTCCTCAATGGTTACCTCGGCTCACAGCTGGGCTTCCAGGAACTGGGCCTGGCTACCAAGAGTCATAAGGAGGCCGAGTTCGAAACGAGTGAGAATGAATTCGTCATCAAACTGGTCGCTTCGCTACCCGTAAAGATCACGACAAAGGTCATCAACGAAGCCACAGGAAAGGAGTCCCAGGAGCGGGTTTTCATCCAGACGAGGGGTCAAGACATCAGTCTGTTGGTCAGTCTAGACTCCCCTGGGTACCACAAACTTCAGATTTACGGGCTTCCCGCGTCGGAGCAGAGCAAACAGCTGCCTGGAGTGTTCAACTACCTTATCAACTGCACGGCCATGCCACGGAAGTCTCGTCTATTCCCCAAACAGTTCGCCAAATGGAAAGAAGGCTGCGCACTGCTGGAACCCTTTTCCTTAGCTGGAGACGGTCTATCGGGTGACGTCGCCTTTCGCGTGATTGTTCCAGAAGCACACGCGGTGGCTGTGACGATAGGCGAGTCGTGGACACATCTCGAGCCAGACGACAGGGGCTTGTGGGTAGGACGAGTGCAAGGAGTGGAGCAGTATAAGGGAAAGGGGCTTTCTGCAGTGCTCAACGCCAATTTTGACGAAGAAGACGAGTCCAAATACTTCTCTCTTTTACAGTATTCTCTATGAAACATTACATTATTCTTATATTCTTAGAGACCGCAAAGTGTGTGATGGATAAAAGCAAACAGTTGGTGAATGGGGCAAAGAGCGGTTCAAACCAAAAGAAAGAGGCCATGCGCTATCTTCAACAAAAAATACATTGCTCAGTATGAAGATTTGTACTTTTTTCTACGGCAATGAACTGAATACGACCAAAGGTACACGGCAAGAAAGTCGAAAGGTGTATGGAGAAGGGAATTATATTTTTCTGAGGTACTTACTTGTAAGTGTGTGTGGTCTGTTTTTCTTACTCAAGGGTACAATAGCTTAATAACTTTGGTCGTACACGTTTTTTTTATTCAACAGTACGGAGAGAGATAGCAGTATGGGTGGTTTAACAACGTTCTTTTAAAACTATTCTACATGTACAGAGCTTTTCATAATGTTTCTAGATTTCTGGTGACATTGGATTGTTTGTGCTGTTCCCTACGCGAAATTCCATGATGGATCCAAGTAAAAAGCCTTTCTTTCCTACACTGTAAGCTACAAAATCTTGATCCAGCCACAGCAAAGGAACTCTATGTGTGCGATGGCTAAAAGCAACACCATTTTTATGAACGACCTTGGTTTACATTTTTATTTATTTCCGTCTTCTTCCTTCAGGCGACATTGGAGTAGGGGCAGGTTACAGGAACAATTGTTGAGTGCGTGTGCGCGTGTGTACGTATGTATGTATGTATGTATGTATGTATGTATGTATGTATGTATGT